ATTTGTGGGAAACGCCCCCTTTTAGGCTGATTTTGGCGTCTGAGGCAACCTTTGAAGAGCGATAACAAATAAATTCTGGGCCGCTTCAAAAGCACTCGGGCATACGTGTCATACACCTAGAGGAGATTCCTTATAATGAATTGCAGACTGCTGAGCGTCGCCATTGATGGTACAATTGACGGCGCGTATGTCCAAAATTGTGGGAAACGCCCCCTTTTGACGGTTGAGGCAAGCTTTGGAGAGCGATAACTAAATAAATTCTGGGACGCTTCAAAAGCACTCGGGCATATGCGTCGCAGAACTAGAGGAGATGCATTATTATGGCTTATAGAGTGCTGAGTGTCGCCATTGATGGTACAATTGGCGGCGCGTATGCCAAATTTCTGGGACACGCCCCTTTTTTGCCTGATTTTGACGTCTGAGGTTGTGATGACTTAAGAGATACTGGGCCGTTTCAAAAGCTCTTGGGTCGCACGCGCAGCAAACCTACATAAGATTGATTAATTAGCAGTAACAGCGTGCTAAATGTCGCCATAAATGGTACTCTTCATGTCGCGTTGGCCAAAATGTCTGGACCACGCCCACTCATTTTGGCATTTTTATTTTTAATACCATTCTTGGGGGGGGGGGGGGGGGGGGGGAGGAAGTGGAATAGCTGGTGAAATGAAATTTGGACACTTCGTAAAATATAGTTCGGATCAAAAAACGTTTTGACTCCTTAATTATTCTGCGCTTTAAGTATAATGTATTTGAACTAATTACGCGATGAGAACAAAAAAAGAAAAGAAAAAAACCTGCATTCAGGTTCTGTGTTTATCAATTAAGAAAATATTCAGTGTAGTTGCCGTTTTGTTATACATTACATATGTTGCTAAAAAATGTATTTAGGAACGCAACAACGTCACTGAATCCTCGAGTCACCTCACCAACTGCGGATTCCTTTTGGAACTTAAAGTCCCGGGGAACCACTTTAAATTTAAGTAATTTGAAAATAAAAAAGGTTTCCATGGAGCTAGAGACATTGGCTATATATATAGCAAAATGCAACTAAATTGATGGTGTGGTTCTCTTAGGGTTTGCATTGAATGTTGAAAAGACGTATGATTTTTCTGCGGTTCGCCATAGGAACCAATGAATAAAAGTTTGGTTGCATTTTGGCCAGACTTAATATAAACCCAGGACCACGAAATTTCTCGTGGAGGTTGAGGGCAGCGAATTAAAACGTGACAATAAAGTGCAAAGGGATTGAGTGATTAGTTTTCTTTGTATAAAAAAAGATCGCTTTGCTCCATTGAGTTACGGGCGCCGGCGCAACGGCGGCCGATAGATGGCGTAAGTAGTGGCGGCGCTCGCCTGTCCGAGAATCTTGGGGTTGCTGCGATCGCTCGATGATGACATAGTAATGAGTATCACTTGACAAGGCCAGGTATTTTCTCCGCTTTGCTTTGGTTGTTTGCTTTAGCGCGTAGCAGCAAAAACTGTTCGCTAAGTGTATTTTGTTTTTGCTATCGACCAAAACGTGAGTAGTACGAAACCTAGGAACGAATCCGAATACGCAAGCGAGACGATCGGAAGTTGCGTGTAACTTACGATGGTATATCCTACGATAGCTTCACCCTGCATCCGAGCGGTGGCCGCCAACACCGCTCGGATGCTTCGCCCTGGAGACCAACGAGCGTATTTCTATGTCCCCTTCGCGCGCTTCCCGACTTCAAGCAGCAGACGAAGGGAAATGCGTACTAAGGACGCTCGATTTACGGGTTCCGGAAGCAACGGCAACAATCCCAACGACTTCAGCGGCAGCTCAAGTCGGTGGGAAGGCCTAGCAAGGCGTCCCAGAATCTACCTGTTTGGTCACTTGACAGGTCTCCGAAGTCACGACGACGACTGATTTTGTCGGGGTCAGCACGATAGAACTAAATTGGGTCAATGGGTCCTGTTCTGCAAGTCCCGACACTACTGTTGTCGCGCTGCTTGAGCTTAATTTTAACGAGAAGCACTACGAAAGGATTAGGTCACACGCGCCCCCGAACTCTCGTTCAAATTAACGAATCAGACATGAATTGTGAACGATACAACTCAACCTACATGTTACCAACGAAGCACAGAAGTGCCCACGCGATCCTTGGTACTATACGCCACGACAACAAGCCACCAGCGCCCCCCGATCTTCTCGGGGCTAATAGGAAGGTTATCCAGTTATCCCACCTCCGGCTCACGCTTCCCACGTCGAAAACTTTTAGGCGTTTTGTGAGCTTGGTGCATCCACGCGCAGCCAAAGCACGGTGGAAGGCAACGAGCTCATGTTAGAAGTCTGGCCTCTAAAGCGAGCAACTAACCACTGCTGCGGTACAGTTGGTGAAACGAAGGAACAGCTCTGGCGGCCCTTTTTGTCTCCGCTCACCTTAGCAAAAAGAGATCTCTGGCCGCCGCCATTTTGCGAATCGAGCGACCCCTGTCAGCCAGAATTTTCTGTCACCCGCCTGAGCTGCGGAAACCCGGTCAGCGTGGCTTTCCACTTGCATTGTGCATTTGGAGTTTGCCGACTTTTCTTGAATGTGTTCACTTTATTTGCCTGTTTACGAGGCTTACCCTTTGTGTGTTATCTTCCACTGTGAGAACCAGGGAATACCAGGGCTCGTGGCCTGAACGGCCTTCGCAGGAAACGAGCGAAGAGAGCGAACGTCAAGCAGCATGCGACGCAGGCTGTTCAGCGTTTTTGGAGGGATATTTCCATTGAGATAATCTCCATCTGTTCCGGGTTTCGCGAAAAATAGCTGATAGGGTTGGGTTCGGGGTGTGGGAACGGAATAAACAGGTTCGTTCATTTGCTTTGAAGCTGTGCTAAAAAGCAGCTCTCTTCAAAACGTGCCCAAAAACACGCCTGATTCCGTCCGATCGTCGTGAAGTGACTATCGGATAAGCTGTGTTATTTGAGACCTTTCTCAAATCCTGTTTGGATAACGCGGCACCGTGGGGTACGTACAACGTACGTTCGAATGATGAGACTCGATGCATTTCATGTTTTGGGCGGGGAATATTCATGCAGTTTGAATATTCTGTGTGGTGAAATATTTTCGACGGTTAAGACATTTGTAGATTGACACGGCTGAGTGATATGGTGCTGTAAAAAGATCAGCATAATATGAAACAAACATTCCAGTGTCATTTGTTCTGTCGCGCACGGACTCACCAAACCAGCTTTCATTTCTTTGTTTTTGTTTCCAAAAATAATACATTGCATTCTTAAAAACCCCGAGAAATTCTATTCGCCGTAGAACGCAAAATGAAAAATAGAACGGGGCAATTTATCCTCCACCAGCGTCCGGAAGTGCGCCTACGCAGGCTGCCATAGCCCACTGGCTGGAAAATTCACAGCCCAGCGCAGTCGGGCAACACTGACGTACCCTCTCAAAACCAGGGACGCGCGCTTTAAATCGCTTCGTTCGAGACTGCCCCCAAGCAAGCACAGGGGGACTCAAAGAAAGGGAGGGGTAAGGATAACACTGATATCAGGATAACATATGACTTGCACATGACGTCATATCGCACCGTGCTGGTGGCAATCCTACTTGTTCTTGCCCAGAGAAACAGATTCGGTGGTGCAAAATGTATATGTGCTCATCAGCATGGCTATCACAATGGCAGCTCATGTGCCGTCAGTGCAGGCCATGTATGTGTTTCAATAAATACTGCGGTCAAAATAGTCTAAACTCTCTTGAATCAGCGCTCACGCCCTCAGTATAGGATCCTTTCATCGTTCGCAAGAGGTACGCGTTGATAACGGGAGGTCGTAGCGTCGTTTTGAGCGTGGATTGAGCAGGGCCAGCATACGCAACTTACGATCTACAAAAGTTTAGACGCTTGACAGTGTAAAGGCCCGACCACACTAGCGTGAACGGCGCCGCCGGGCGGCGCCGCCGGGCGGTACCGCCGTCCGGCGTCCCAACGCGAGGAGTCCACATTGGCCTCCGTTTTGCAGGCGTCACGTGACAGCACTGGTTCCCGCGATCGCGCCTCCCGTCGGATTTCCCGCTCTTTCGTCGTCTGCTCTTCGTTAGATTCTTCCGTTCCGCACTCGCTGTCTAGACGGTAAGAGTTCATAATGACCTGGTGATCAGCGTGAATGTGATTATTTTAGCCTGCTCGTTGATCTTGCGACGTCGCCGCGCTCTGAAGGGAAGGAGGCGCAGGTTTTGGGTCCGGCCGAGTTAGTTCTACCGAAACACCGAAGGACAGGAGAGGTCTGGCGCGCCGCCGGGGCTTTGCTGCCCCGGCGGCGCGCCAGAGACGAAGGCTACTTTCGAAAGTGTCACCAAATCAACACGACATCCGTCACAACAGAGACGACATGCAACAGGTGCCACGGAGAAACTCACTTGTAATTCCGAATTGGTTAGTTTCAAGGAACCGCTCCGTTGGGGAAGGCATCGTGGGGAAATAGGGGGAGCAGACGACACCAAACACGTCCTTCGCTTCGAGAGGCGCCGAGGACCGGCTTGAGCGTTGCCATGGCATCTCGACGTCACTATCTACGCCACCTCCCATTGGCTCCTCTCTTCTGCGGCGTGCGGCACTGAGCTCTGAACCGCGCAAGGAGCGGTTGGGTGTGCGGCGCCGCACGTCGTGACGTTGAAGCCGAAAACTGGTTTCCGCCGGCAACCGGCAGCGACGACCGTCGCGCCGCAGGCCTCCGAAACGCCAATGTGGTCGCGCCTTAATGCGGCGTTTCCGTGGTAACCACTCCAGTGTTTGGACACTCAACGTCACGAAATCGACTCGTCATTGTTTTATGGAAACAAAATGCTAAGAGCAGGTGAGCAGGCGGAGGCTTGCCGTGATGCTTCTGGACTATAAAAAACAAAAACAAAAAAGCCTTTTTTTTTTCTTTTTTTGTTTACTCTACTTTTTAGAACTTTAGGTCTTCTTTTAACCATTATCAGTGGGTAAACTTGCGTCGTGTTTCTCAACATAGTTCTCAAAAACTCTGTCATTCGCAGACAGTGGCGGCCTCGGTGTTCCTGATGCTCCAGTGCGTGGGCACTTCGGGCGCGTCCCTCAAGTTCATGTCCCTGCTCACCTTTTCCCACGCCGTGCAAGGACTTCATTTCCTCGTTTCGGGCCTCTTGTCCAGGGGTATATCCGCCCTCCTGGCCAACTCCTTTTATGTAAGCTCAAAGTTTGCTTCTATGCATGCACCGCCAACCCCACGCTCTCATGACGTCACGCGCCTGCGGTGGCGCCGCCGTCGACACGGCGCACGTGCAGTGCCCACAACTGGTGCGGGCGAACGGGGCCTCGTTTCGTAAGACAACGTGTTGGCAGCGTATACACGGCCGTGAGTCTATGTCCCGGGGACGACTTTACGTGGCAAGCAGTCCCAGAGATGTGATCGAAGTGTCCGGTTGCGCGGATGGACGTCCGCATAGCTTTGATAAAATTGCCCCGAAGGGTTGTTCCCGGGAGTATTTTCCGCCCAAAAGTACGCACCGGCAAAAAATAAATAAATAAAAATTACAGGTTTGGTTTGTCTTTTTAGACTTAATTAGGCTAGGTGGTGCAAGCTACCGCCCGTTACAAAGGGTATAGCCATTTACATCCATCCATCTATCCATCCAGTTAGGGGGGCACCTGGCCCCCTTGAGATTCCGGGGCTCTTAAGTAGCGGTCACACATTGGTAATGCGTGATACAACAGAGAGTCCGCAGGCACAGTCTAAGACCTGTTGATTCCTGGTCTGACCGTCCTGTAACGTTGGTCAAAAACTGTGTGCAGACCTGTTCTAACAACTAACATGAAGCGTACATGCTTCCAACATGCTTGAGACGTAGATAATTCTGTCGCCATGCGTCTCCAGCCAACAGCGTGTCTTTGGTACAAGTACCGGACATTTCGTCCAACGCCATCGAATAAATGGACATTTCGTCGAACGCCGATTCATCGAAGGCCAGTTTCATCGAATCACTCGGCGCTGCTTCGTGGAATTTCCCTTCCCCGGATTTCGAACACTTGTGGTGCTTTTTATATGTGCTTTACTCTCGCTTCTGGGTCGTTTTCACCTGTCGGATCGCCAAAAATAGAATTACAGCCCTGGTCATTTTTTTTTCTTCTTTTTTTTTTAACCGATAGTTTGCTTTTTGAATCATAGAGCATAACGAAAAACTTTCGTGGGTGTGAAACTTAAGGCTCGTTCAAACAGTTGCGTTGCGCAGCGTTGCGTTGTGCAGCACAGCGCCTCCCCATTTGGCTAGTCGTGAGGGTCACCATAGCAACAGCTCGATGCAAGCTGCCAAATGCAACTGCGTGAACGAGCCTTTATTGTTTTCGGGTCAGGTAAGTGACTCTACTCCACCACATACTTTGTTCCCCATTTGTTCACACGTGAAAGGTACATCTGGGAACAAATATAACTATTCTTTGCTGCGCCTTTTTTTTTAATTTTCTATTCATCTATTTACTTGCGTTTTTATTCTATTTTAGGAAAATAACTTCCCTTCTAAGAACATATGTTAAAGTGCCGGCAGGTCCGGGGCTCTGCCGAATACGAAAAATAAACAAAAAGGGGAGACGCTTCTTTTTTAAATTTTTGTTTCGTGCAACATGGCGGCATGTCATTGTTTCAAGGACGGCTTCATGCTTGAAACAGAATACGTCTTCAAGGACGAGATACACCCGTGAAGAGACGCATCTTCGGCACTGCACCTGATGATCACAAATTCCATAAAAATGCAGCACATCAGTTACCATGAAAAAAGAAAGAAGAAAATATGGAAGGTGTAGGGTAGAAAATTAAGTTTTTCATTGTTAATTCCTCTCTCTCTAGGAAAACAAAGGTCCGGTGTTAAAAAATATATTTCCTAGATCAAATATTTCTACTGCTCAACTAGGCGCTGTTCGATGAAACGGCGTTCGATGAAATGGCGTTCCGCGAAACAGCTTCGATGTGTAACAAGCGCGGCGGAAGATTGAAACCGTCGTGTTCATAAAACCAACATCGCCAGTGTTGCTCTCATGCGAAACAAATTGCATGCCCTCCTCGCGCTTGCCTGCCCCCCCCCCCCCCCCCCCCCCCCTTTTTCGGAGGATTGCCCTCTCTTGAAAAAAAAAAAAAAAAAAAAGTTCCGCAAACGCCCATGTGTATGCGCAAAAAAAAAAAAAAGTTTAATTGATGTACAGCCCTTAAAGGACTCGTTTCAATGTCTGCGCAGTACATGAGCTTCCAGCTTGTTGCCTCCGGGGTCTACATCTTCTTGGGCATCTGCTCTCTCTGCACCTGCCGCCTGGGCATCCTGGAGTGCGCCGAAGGAATCGTAGCAGGGGTGAGACGTCGTTCACACGGGCGAGGGTACTCGCTGCATAGTCTTCGACGGCTCACAGCCAATCAGCTTGTCGCATTCCCATATAACAAATCCGACGAACCAATCGCGAAGCAAGGAGCGCGACCAAGCCACGCCCCGACATTCTGTGTATGGAGCCAGTGACAAAAGCGCCCGGTGCGCATCCACAATTGGCCCTCTCCTCCCCCCCCCCCCCCCCCCCCCCCCCCACACACACACACTTTTATTCTCTTCCAACATAACAACGTGATCTCTCTCTCTCTCTCATTCTGTGTATGACTATTTGTGGCGAGATGTTTCGGTGGCGCCCTCTCATGGTTTCCGTTTGTGACGTCACGATCGGAAGTTTCTTGCTCCCCGCGACTTCATAAGTTGTAATCTTTAATTACTTATGGATCGGTGGCGAACTACAAGTTTGATGGTACGTGTAAGTTTAACGGTGTAAGCTCGGAGTCGTCGCATTCTTAAACCGACGTCGTCACGGTGGACACTCTGACATTGCGCTGATTTTCGTCGATGAAAGGGAAATTAATGCGGATAATGACGTCACACTGAGCGTTTGACCAATCGCGAGTTGCAACCACACCGACACCTTTGGTCGTGCTCGTCGCTTTCGTGTGTTGCCTCCCGTACCGGGAACAACATGCATGGTATAACGTAAGATGTCAAGCCTGTACGTGTATTATTTCCTTTGTTTAAAAACACTTGTTAATAGTCAGGCCATATAAAAATTTTACATAGTAAGCCCAAACAGACCATGCCGGGCTTTTGTTTTCTTTTTCTTTTCCAATCGAACCGATGTTTGAGAAAAAATTCGAGCCAAATTCTCGCAGTGCTTGCAGCGTGTTATTGACTGGTTAGGAGAAGTTTAATGGTATTAAACGAATGCTGGGAAACCTCACTCCTGAAAAATAATAATAAAAAAAACAAAAAAAAATATTGTTTTTTAGGCATAACCTCATACCAGCGTGCAACTGACGCACCTGGGACCCGGTACATTTTTGGATTGCCCGCTGACACAGGGTATGCAACCGCCGAGGGTATGGGCGAAAAGGCTTAGGGACGGACGTCGTGCATGAGTTTGTTACGAGTGTTTCTTTTTACCTTGTTACAATTTCCAAAAATCTACGGTTGTGTGGCTATCACTGCGATGTCATATCTGGTGCGCAAATAATTTTAAAACGAATAAGAACAATCGCAGAGAAGTGTGCGATGAGCACAAAAAGCTGGCGTGCGAGTCTGGCTGCAATGAATCCTATTGAGCCTCACACGTTCCCCAAGGATTCTTATTTATGAAATCTGTCCAACGCCGGTGCAACATAGACGACTGACGCACGGGTAGACAGAACGATCTTTTTACGTACAAAAACTTAACCCAATAATTTGAGCTCTTTTGAAAACATAATTTATTACTTGTAATTGATTAAAAAATGTAATAATAAGATTACAATGAACGTTACCGAAAAAAAAAGAATTGAAGTGTTAAAATACTTACAATAAAATGTAATTTATTACAGGTAATCAGGTACTTGTAACTCGTTACATACAAGTCTGGTTCAAACCGAACAACCGAATGAAGTGTTCCCGCTAAAGGCGCAAGCTTCCCGCTCCTGTTTTGGTTTGGAGACACCACCTGAAGGGTTATGAAAACGTCTGCGTACCACCGCTCAAGATGCAGCTATGAAATGCCGAGAGCTTACCTTCGTAGACTACACTAAACTGTCCATATATTCCTTCCTTGAAGAAACTGATTCAAACACTCCACCGGCTTCGTCCTAGTTCTTTCTAGGAGGCAAGGTGAGGGCCCTTCCTTAGCCAGCTCGATTCAACCGGTCAAGTTATTGTAGCCTACTATAGCCAAGTCTAGCCAAGTTAACCCCCCTACACACACACACACACGGTTCCCTACCCAGATAGCTGTTCTGCCACAAACAGAAGGTATATATTTCAAGTTTTAAGCCGCTAAACAACGTCGGTGGCACCATAAAGGCCTGTTCACACATGTAGCGGAGCGCTACAAGCGTAGCGCTTACCTCGCGCTAAGCGCGTGCTGACGGGAGCGTTCACCAGCTTTGTGTCGCACCGCCAATACTGTTGTTCATGCCAGACAATAAGTAGCGGACGACACGTGAGAAGCGCTACATTAGCGCTTCGCTGCATGTGTGAACCGGCCTTAATACTAAAAACGGCGGCGCTCTTAAAAAAAAAAAAAAAAAAACATGTTTATGCAACATGCGACATTACCCCAATGGAAAGCACGAAAACTTCTGTATATCACTTTTGGTATAAACATATTTTTTAATTGCCATTTTAAATTTTAGAGATAATGAACAGCATGCCGGGAAGAGTAGAGCCTGGGTAATCTGAAAATATCTGTAGTTTGGGCAGCACAAAATGCTACCGCATTTAATGTCAAATTCTCCATAGCACCATTTATTTTCTTCTTCTTCTAGGGCATTTAAAGAGAAAAAAAAATCTTCGCAGGCATTGGCGGTTGGTCTCTTCCTGGTGCATCTAATCCACACGGCCTTCCTCCTCACGGGCAACGTTTCCACCAAGCTGAATGTGAACTTGACCAAGATTCTGCGTGGGATCAATTTAACGGACGTTCTCCACCCTCCCGACGCGTGACGAACGCTCCGTAGGAACCGGCGCGTTTTCCCGCAAAGGCACTCGGTGCGGGAGAGCCAGTGGCTGCAACCTGGCGAACGACGGGGCTGAAAGTGTCTGTAGACCCAGAGTGTCGCTGACAAACCTAAGAAACCCAGGGCGTGACGAGTCCCTATAGCACCTTACTGTGGCTCAGCAGCCAATCAGACTGTTTCATTAGCCTATTTGAACGCCGAAGAACCAATCACGAAGCGAGTAGCATGAATTAACATAATGAGCCACGCCCTGGGTTTCCTTAACTCTCGTCGACTGTAAGAAAAATAAAATATAAATCTGCGTCATGACACTGGACAAAACACGAGCAAATTGGCTTATAAGGACGACGCGAGTAATCCTGTTTTGTGGCGCAAGCTACCGCCTGTTAGCATCCATTCATCTATTCTCCCCGTGCTTGCATCATGATGAGTGTCACAGCAAGACTGTTTTTTTTTTTTTTTTTTCTTCTAGGTTTAAAAATATTTCTAGCCCCGTCATTGCCCGGGCTTCCTCCGTAGATGGCATTGATTGACTCCTACAAGTGCTTTGCGGAAAAGAGGACGTTCCAGGTTTCTTTGAGTGCAGACACTCCCAGAGCACGGTGTATACCAAACGGCCATGCGAAAACTCTGCGCTAAAATGTCCGACGTGGCCACGTAAGACTTCTCACAACGCTCAGAAGAAGAATATATATATATATATATATATATATATATTCGTGCCTCCGTTTTTCCGAAGACCACTCGAAGAGGCAATTACGACGAGCCACGGAGGGATCTCGACCGATGAAGAGTTTCGGACCAATGATGAGGCGGAAAGACGTTTTCAGCAGGGATGTGAAAATTGTGGTTCCAATGAAATAGAGCTTCGCGTCGCTCACAGCCTTCGCAGTGCTTTCTTTGTAGCGTGGAAGTAAAGAATGACGCTGCACTATTTAAATCAGATTCGCACATCCCTACATTCTAAAAGATCTACTGTGTCTACTTTCCCGCAAAAGCCCTCGAGAGATCCAATCGCTGCAATCGGCGAACGACGGGGCTGGGATTATCTTCGGACCTAAAAATGAAGTCTGGGGCACTACGTAATAGTACACGGCGGGACCGAGGGGCCGGGTCATCGCCGCCTGCTGCGATTGGTCAGTGGTGAGGATCTGGCCAATCGCAGCAGGTGGCCATGTCCCGGTTCCCCCGTCCCGCTTGACCACACCATGTATAGTTAGGGCCCCTGGTCTGTAACGCTAACCGGGAGGTTCCACGTGCTATACGGCGAACGCGGTATCATGGCGTAGATGTTTCTTTAGGTCTAGACACATATTTTTTTTTTTTATTCGTGCAACAAGCAAAGCTTGAGAGTTTAGATTAGGTGCGCTATTTGTGCATCCCGTATAAAGCCCAAAAGGGCTCCGGCATGCGCGTTCACTCTTGTCCATTTGTAGTAGTCCTCAGGGGATGCTAGGTTGAGGTCTCGTGCCTGAGTCAGGGGAAGGAGGCGGTGCTGAAGATTTGGGCAATTCCAGAGAATGTGTCGGAGTCCAACTGCGGACGCCCTGGCAGAGCAGTAGGGGCACGCCGGGCTGGCATCATCGGGGCCTCGGCCCCAGGAGGCCAAGACTGCTGGGGTGACTGCGGAGTCCGTCCGGATCCTTGCGAGGAGGACCTCCTCCCGCCGGGGCAGGCCCGCCGGGAGAGGATGTGGGCACGCGGGAATGAGTGCACGCGTAGCGACCCTTATGCGGGCCTTGCCCACGACGAGTGAGGCCTCCGGCTCATCCGGAAGGGGGGTGGGATCAGGGGGGGGATGTTCAATCAGGGCTCGAGCGATTTGGTGGGCTTTGTCCTGGTGAGTACCGTGCTGGTGCCCAGGGGTCCAGAGAATCCGGACTTCTTTAGCAGATGTACGATTTAGGGCATGAATCTCATGGCAAATATGTAGTAAAGATCGCGTTGACTTGAGATGTCGGATGGCAGAGGCACAATCCGTGTGAACGCGTACTCGAGTGACATCGGGCATCCGCGTTAGTGATTGTATGGCGTCTCGAATCGCGTATAACTCGGCGATAAGCGGATCGTCCAACTGTGTGGCGTAGAACGCCGATGTGTCAATGGAAGGATGAGATGGACAATGCACTGCGGTAGCGATGCCATGTCGGCACGTTGCTCCGTCGGTGTAGACATCTATCGCGAACTCATCCGAGCTCGGGGCCGCGACCTGCTCTACTCGTGGTGGCGCGGAGCCGGACGGATGCGTGCGGACGGTAGCAGGCTTATTGGTAGTAATTGTAGTGTAGTACCATGGTGGAGGTGGAGCCCCAACGTACGGAGAGCAGCGGGGAGGTTCCTCGTGCAAAGGAGTGACGGTATGTTTCAGATTGCGAGCTTCTCTTCGTTGATTGACAAGTTGTTCAATAGTGTTCAGTTGCGCATACTCGTACAGGTGCCAGGTAGGGGTATGCCGAGGGAGACCAGTCATGCCGCGAATTGCGTCCCTATTGATGATTTCAATACTCTTCCACTGAGATGCAGTGAGACGCTGGAACTGAGCTTGGTATATCAATCGAGGTTGAAGGACGCATTTAACCAGACGTTGGGCTACCTCAGTCCCCGCTCCGCCACATCGTTTCGAGATGCGTCGAATGAGGTGTGTTGTAGACGCCGCCGTCTTGCGTGCCGCTTGAAGCCACTGCTTGGCTGAGCCGGACTGGTGGATGAGGAGTCCCAAGATCTTGGTTTGTGTAACCATCGGAAGCTGTGTCGACCCTATTCTGAGGGGCATGGGAGTCAATGGCAGTTTCTTCCGGGCAGCGTTGTTGCACACATGAAGGAATTGCGATTTCTCGGGAGACACCGTCAGGCCAAAAGTCTTTGTATGGCAGTCTAGTTTATTCAACCCGGCCTGTAAGGCATTTTGTTGCTCCTCTATAGGGATGGGTGAACTGACCACATTGTGACATCATCAGCGTAAATTAAAAAACGAAGGTGTTGTACATCAGCGAGAGCCCAGGCCAGGGGAAGGAATGCAATGTTAAATAGGAGTGGTGCAAGTACTGAGCCTTGGGGCACGCCACAGTTTGATAGGAAATTGGACGACTCGCCATATGATAGGCGGACGGCGAAAGTTCTGTCGGTAATGAAGGCGTGGACAGCATTTATGACACGAGGTGGAAGGCCGAGAACCACCATTGCCTCCAACAGTGGGGCGTGAGCGATATTGTCATAGGCCTTTGATATGTCAGTAGCTACAAGTGTGCGAACCAAGTGGCTATAGGGTGACAGATGTAGGACTTCCTTTGCAAGGCGGTCGAGGCCATATTCCGTTTCGAGATGTTGCCGGAATCCAATTTGGTTGGGGTGATAGAGACAGTGGGCCTCCAGCCACCAAGAGATACGTTTAGCCATCATACGCTCATAGATTTTGCAGATGGTGGGAGTCAGTGATATAGGCCACAGAGCTGTGAGGCCGGTCGGTGCCTTGCCCGGTTTGGGAGTCGGCACTACAATCGAGTGTTTCCATGATGTGGGGAGCTCGCCGGCTTCCCAGATCTTATTGATGATAGCTAGCAAATCTGCGACTGCCTCTCCCTCGAGGTTCTTGTACACTTCGTACGGGAGACCGTCATGTTCTGGAGCAGAGCGGCGACTAGCACTCTCGATGGCGTCTTGGAGCTCAGCCAGAGTGAAGGGCGTAGTGATGCCAGTAGTGTCAGGCATAGCCGTGACAGGGCGCGGGACCGACGGGCTGGCATGTCGAGGGAAAAAGGTATCTGCCGCGCGCGTCGCAAACTCATCGCCGGTGAGCCCCAGACGCAACTGAATGTTGCCAGTCCGGCCTTCAGCTTGGCGAGGTCGTTCCATAGCGTGAAAAGTCCGCCAAAGAGCCTCAGGGTGCTTCGGGTTACTCAACGAGGCACACCAGTCAAGCCAGCGTTGGCGTGTAAGTCGTTTCTCGTGGCGGCGTGCCTTAGCTGCCACGTGGGAAGCCTCATTTTGAAGTTGGTGGTCGTCGGAGTGTAAGGCTGCCAATGTGACCGCTTCAAGTCGCTCTTGCCACAGGCGGAGGAGGTGGGGATCAGGTGTTGGTTGGTCACAGTGCACCGTGGTAGTCGTGGTGCACTCTATCATGGCTTCTTTGAGGTCTCTCTGAACTGTTCAGGTAACCAATCGGTTACCTGAACTTGCTTCCGGAGGCGGTTATATGCCGTTGGGAACCATTTGATAATGATCGGAAAGATGGTCACTTCCCCAAGTGTCGTCTTCAGTCCTCCATGCCGGATTGCCAGTCCCACGCCACCAGGTGAGGTCCGGAGCGTTGGACGGGTTCCCTAGGCGAGTGGGACCCGGCAAGTTGAGAAGATGGAATCCTCGATCGGTGAAGCGATCGTATACTTGACGGCCTCGGGGGGAATCCTGCTTGTACCCCCACTTCGTGTTGGGGGCATTGAAGTCGCCACCCACGATAATAGGTATGTTGGGATGGAGTGAGAGAATGTGTTCAAGCCACCCGAGATTATGACGAACGTTTCCAGGTTTTCCGTAGAAAGAGACTGTCACAACACAATTGTAGCGTGTCCGGACAAGGACAGCCACTACCTCCTGGCGGGAGGTGCACCATTTTGATAGGTCTATTGGGGCGTGCTGAAGATGATCTCTGACATAGCCGCTTTGCCGGGCATAGAGGGCTCGGAGTCTGAGGTCGTTAAATGCCGGGCATCAGTAATGGACGGTGAATGGTAGCCGCAGTACGTGGGGATACGAATGAGTTCCAAATGTTCTTGTACAAGGATGAGCCATGGATTGAGCAGATGATACAAGATTCTAGTGCGTAGTACCCCAAACGTTTAACGGCTACTACGACCATTCTACTGTAATATGTGGAGCGGAGGGGCTGGACGACACTCTACTGTCGACTCATCCATCGCTGCAGGATCATAAGTGCATTGCAGCGATTTGACTTGTGTGTCCAGTGCTTTGGCCACGGACAGCAAGTGACCGGTTACATCATCAATGTTGACATTTTCTGCCGCTGAGGGTGACCGGGCCTCCTGACCACACCGTGGGGTACGAGACGGCATGTTCTTGGCGCCCCTGGGTTGATGACAGCTGCTGAATTCTTGCGAAGCTCCATGTAGATCTTGAGACGAATGTTGAGATGTGGCTGTCTTTCGAGGCGGTCGCTGAAGTTTCCTAGTGGCCTTGACAATCGCTGTGTACGAGGGTTGTAGTGCCTCAAGGCCGTCGTTTGATGGTACCGT